CAGCTCTTCTGCTCCACCTACACCACTGACTCTCTCAAGCTCTTCTGCTCCACCTGCACCACTGACTCTCTCCAGCTCTTCTGCTCCACCTGCACCACTGACTCTCTCCAGCTCTTCTGCTCCACCTGCACCACTGACTCTCTCCAGCTCTTCTGCTCCACCTGCACCACTGACTCTCTCCAGCTCTTCTGCTCCACCTACACCACTGACTCTCTCCAGCTCTTCTGCTCCACCTTCACCACTGACTCTCTCCAGCTCTTCTGCTCCACCTACACCACTGACTCTCTCCAGCTTTTCTGCTCCACCTGCACCACTGACTCTCTCCAGCTCTTCTGCTCCACCTGCACCACTGACTCTCTCCAGCTCTTCTGCTCCACCTGCACCACTGACTCTCTCCAGCTCTTCTGCTCCACCTGCACCACTGACTCTCTCCAGATCTTCTGCTCCACCTGCACCACTGACTCTCTCCAGCTCTTCTGCTCCACCTGCACCACTGACTCTCTCCAGCTCTTCTGCTCCACCTGCACCGCTGACTCTCTCCAGCTCTTCTGCTCCACCTGCACCGCTGACTCTCTCCAGCTCTTCTGTTCCACCTGCACCGCTGACTCTCTCCAGTTCTTCTGCTCCACCTGCACCACTGACTCTCTCCAGCTCTTCTGCTCTACCTGCACCACTGACTCTCTCCAGCTCTTCTGCTCCACCTGCACCACTGACTCTCTCCAGCTCTTCTGCTCCACCTGCACCACTGACTCTCTCCAGCTCTTCTGCTTCACCTGCACCACTGACTCTCTCCAGTTCTTCTGCTCCACCTGCACCACTGACTCTCTCCAGCTCTTCTGCTCCACCTACACCACTGACTCTCTCCAGCCCTTCTGCTTCACCTGCACCACTGACTCTCTCCAGCTCTTCTGCTCCACCTGCACCACTGACTCTCTCCAGCTCTTCTGCTCCACCTGCACCACTGACTCTCTCCAGCTCTTCTGCTCCACCTGCACCGCTGACTCTCTCCAGCTCTTCTGCTCCACCTGCACCGCTGACTCTCTCCAGCTCTTCTGCTCCACCTGCACCACTGACTCTCTCCAGCTCTTCTGCTCCACCTGCACCACTGACTCTCTCCAGCTCTTCTGCTCCACCTGCACCACTGACTCTCTCCAGCTCTTCTGCTCCACCTGCACCGCTGACTCTCTCCAGCTCTTCTGCTCCACCTGCACCGCTGACTCTCTCCAGCTCTTCTGCTCCACCTGCACCACTGACTCTCTCCAGCTCTTCTGCTCCACCTGCACCGCTGACTCTCTCCAGCTCTTCTGCTCCACCTGCACCGCTGACTCTCTCCAGCTCTTCTGCTCCACCTGCACCACTGACTCTCTCCAGCTCTTCTGCTTCACCTGCACCACTGACTCTCTCCAGTTCTTCTGCTCCACCTGCACCACTGACTCTCTCCAGCTCTTCTGCTCCACCTGCACCGCTGACTCTCTCCAGCTCTTCTGCTCCACCTGCACCGCTGACTCTCTCCAGCTCTTCTGCTCCACCTGCACCACTGACTCTCTCCAGCTCTTCTGCTCCACCTGCACCGCTGAGTCTCTCCAGCTCTTCTGCTCCACCTGCACCACTGACTCTCTCCAGTTCTTCTGCTCCACCTGCACCACTGACTCTCTCCAGCTCTTCTGCTCCACCTGCACCACTGACTCTCTCCAGCTCTTCTGCTCCACCTGCACCACTGACTCTCTCCAGCTCTTCTGCTCCACCTGCACCACTGACTCCAGTTCTTCTGCTCCACCTGCACCACTGACTCTCTCCAGCTCTTCTGCTCCACCTGCACCACTGACTCTCTCCAGTTCTTCTGCTCCACCTGCACCACTGACTCCAGTTCTTCTGCTCCACCTGCACCACTGACTCTCTCCAGCTCTTCTGCTCCACCTGCACCGCTGACTCTCTCCAGTTCTTCTGCTCCACCTGCACCACTGACTCTCTCCAGCTCTTCTGCTCCACCTGCACCGCTGACTCTCTCCAGCTCTTCTGCTCCACCTGCACCACTGACTCTCTCCAGCTCTTCTGCTCCACCTGCACCACTGACTCTCTCCAGTTCTTCTGCTCCACCTGCACCACTGACTCTCTCCAGCTCTTCTGCTCCACCTGCACCACTGACTCTCTCCAGTTCTTCTGCTCCACCTGCACCACTGACTCTCTCCAGCTCCTCGGCTCTGCCTCGGGACCCTTCACCACCAGTACAGCTCTGTGAAGTGGATTATCTGGCTATACCTCCAGGCTCCAGGGTCATTTTTCCACCTCAGCCTGTCAGCACTTTGGTTCTGCGCTTCATCAGCTCCACCATAGTCCTCCATCTACTCTTTCCTCAATCTACACCTTAAACTCTCATCATCCTTTAACCATGCATTTCCAGGCCTCCGACTGCACCTCAACTCTCCACCCCTTCAGCTTCCTCAGATTCCTCCTTCTCTGCAGCTCGTGGCGCCACCTTGGACCGTCTGGCCTATTATGTCGCCCTAGGACCTCGTCCTGCCGGTTTCACTGGGGTCTCCACTTCTGGAGAATAATGTACTGTAGGTTTGATTAGCCTGATCAAATCAGTGGCTTTGAAGACAAACAGGTGGGAAACGAGGATAACTGAATTAACTAACAGATCAGAAGAACAAAGAAACTCAAACATGAAGAGAACCGAAACAGATCGAAAGACAAACTGAAAATGTGACAGTTGTATATCATATCTCATTGTGCATAATCACACAGAGATATTTACCCTCCTACCCTCCATGGCGTAGGCATAACGACGACTGATCAAGGCGAAGCCAGAGGGATGAGGGAGCCCGTGGAGCCGTAAAGATGAAAGTCCTAGGTGGAGCTGAGGAGCCAAGATGTGGCCGACTGGTATATGGGCTGAGGTGGAGTGATGGACTCGGCGGCCCAAAGCGGAGCCAGGGGATCCACTTACCAAGGCAGAGGTGGAGACCAGAGGGCCCAAGGTAGATTCGATTAGCAGACCAGAGCCAGTAGAGGAGGAGCAGAGGGACTGAAGGGAGCCAGCGGAGGCAGGGATGAGGAACTGGCTGGCTTAAGCAGAGGAAGCTGGAAAGGCACTCATTTTGCGACCATTTTTTAAGACAGTGGGAGTATTGTTAACTAGTCATGTGTGTGCGACCTGCACATTTGAGTATATTTTATTTAATGTTAAAAAATTAGTAAGGATGAGTAAGGAGCGAGTCCACCAGTGTAGGCCGTAAGAGGGGGAGGTGAAATTGCAGATAAGGAAAAATCAGATGACGAGTCAGAAGAAGAAGGAGTGCCGAAAAAGGCAAGACAACAATATTTTCAACTGGAAAAAAGGGAGTTTACTAGGCTTAGATACTTAGGAATAGGCTGAATAGGCTTAGATATTGCAAAAACACTAACACCATGAACTGTATCTTCTGCTCTCGATGTAATCTAAAACGTGTGGGGAAACCAAGTCTGCTGAGGCAACCGGCACCGCACAGTTTAAATATGACACACTAGTGAACTACAACAGCAGCTTGAAGCATAAAAAATGCAGAGACAGATAAATTAATGAAACTGCATTGCCACTTCCAACAGCATTTCAGGAAGATAACATTCAGTCAGCAGATGAGGCTGAAATGTAACATAGCGTATTTCATAGCTAAGGAGGAACTATTCACCAAATTCAAGGTTCAAACTGAATTGTTAAAAAAGAACGGCATAAAACTGAATCCTACATACAGCAACGACACAGCATGTGCACAGTTCATTGGCGCTATTGCAGATTCACTCAAACAGAAGACTCAATAAAGACACCACTTATCTCTCATTCATAATCAATGGCATTGGTGACACAGATGTTTCAACTAAAGAATGTGAAATTGAAACAAGGTAAACCAATAAGTATTTGATTGGCCACATCGAAGTTCAGCATGCAAATACTCAAGGTATGTTGTTTACAGTAGCTGAATTTGACTCCAATTTAGTGCTTACTCTCAATAACACAACAGTCACTTCAGAATATGCCAGGAATGACTACAAGAGTAGGGCTAAACTCAGTAGGGCTACTTGTTTTTTCCATGCAGGTTTCTTACATGAACCACACACGTGCGCACGCACACACACACACACACCTCTATTATAGCCTACAATTCAATAGATTGCCTAGCATTAATTCCTGAGTGTTGTCACCATATGCATTTAAACAAAGCTATTACTATTTTTAACCTTTTTCATATTGATTTCAAGCAAAGCATAAGTAGCTCTACACAGTGGACATTGCATGCTGCTTGGTCATCAAGATTATTTGAGTCACACAAATGTCAGGATTCCACAGTAGCCTATACCTCAAAAGTGTTGTTACTTAGTTAACCAGCATAGTTGTTGGAGATGTTGATGGGGTGCTCGCCCTTTACAGTGCCTGTAGTGAAGTTTTTCTTTTTGAAACTTTGAATCAATTGAAACAATTGCTTCGCAAAATGATTCGTTGTTTCGAAGCCCTCAGACCGCGACACGCTGCTCTGCTGACCCCTGCTGGTCATGCATGAACATGCATAAAAACACCTTTTACGTGCGCAATTTACGCAAATGTTTTATTGAAAGTGTACTCTATTAAATGCTATTAACAAATAATACCATTAAATGAAGTGTAGTCTGTATAAAATGTGTTATTTTGTTCAATTATAGCTGATTTGTTTTATGGGGGCTGCTTGGTTAATTAGGCCTAGACAACTGTCCCTTTTATACAAATGTGGCATTACAATTTCTACAGATTACAGAAATCAGGTAAAAAACATATAGACACTGGTTCATAATCATAAACTTACATTTCGGAACGTTTGAAAACAGTTGAAGTAACGGAGCCTCGTTTGTTGAAATCACTTGACTTTAGAAGTTTGAATCACTGATTCGAACCAAATGATTCTCAAAGGTTTCGAAGCTTCCCGACACGCGCCCGCCACCAGGTGTCAGTAGCGAGGCGTCGTGCGTTCATAGACAGCAGTGGAGCTCGCGCAGAAGAAATCGGTATGGTTGTTTGGAAACCGCAGTAAACGTTGGTCTTCTTCAATAGCTATTACAGCATCCACAGGTTTTCCTTTTGTAAATACGAAGATAAAACCACGAGACTCTGTAGCAGTAGACCTGTAAACGGCTCAGTTTTGTTGTTGGTCATTGTGTAGTTGATCATGAACGTGGCTAAAAGTGGTTATCGTGTTTTCTCGGCTAACTCTACGCCCGCCTGCATAGAGCTCTCTAAGAGGATTACTGAGTAAGTAAAGTATCCTACGACCAATTGCTCGATATTTGACATGGGTCGTGATTATAGAAGCTGATCTTGATGTATAAATGTGATGCTATTGTGACAATCCTGTAAGTTAGATCAGCAGAACCTGGCCCGTTTCCTCGCATCATCACTTTGATGATGTTATAGGTTAGTTGTAAAATTTTGGGATTGATAACTGATCTATAAAGCATCACCATTGTGCTCTTGAACATCAGATAAGTGGACATGTAATAAGTGTACTTTGGGAAGTAAATGTAATGTTTATCTCGTGCACGTGAAGAGATCAGGAACAGTGGGCTATTCATCACATAAGCTGTACATGTGACTGGGGATATCCTGCATTCAGTGCAAACTCTTGACTGAAGGAATACAATCTATTTAATCAACTCTGCTTCAAAGTTACTCTCATGATAAGACACTCTTTGCAAACCTGTCCTGATGTTCTGCTTGTGTTTGCGCAGGCGTCTTGGAGTCGAGCTGGGGAAATCAGTTGTTTACCAGGAGTCAAACAGAGGTGATCAATAATGCTTTGCTTGTTCAAACACACTTTGACCCTTGACACCCTAACATGGACTGAACTCATTTTTACTATAATTTGATTTTAAAAAGTCATACATTGTGCAAACCATAAAGCTTTTATGCTAATCTTAATAAATAAATGGGTTTAGTAGTGTCCTTGTACACGTTACATGTACTTCCTCAAGTAATAATAACAGTAAATCAACATCTAACCCTAATTATATAGTAAGTACATGTGGTTAATTGATATCTCTTGGTACTTAATTATATAATTACACTCTAACAAGGACTCCTTGAAATAAAGTGCTGCACTTTATTTGGTAACACTTTATTTTACAGTGTCCTTGTTACTTATGTTACATGTACTTACCATAGTAATAACAGTAAATTGGGCATAATTACATACAACTAAACATCAACCATATCCTGATCCTACCCTAACCCTAGAGTACGTACATGTTGTTAATTAATATTACCCAGTACTTATAAATATATTAATTACACTGTACAGTGTCTTTGTTACACTGTAAATATATATTTAAGGACAGAGTAATATTATTAAGTAACTACATGTACGTACTCTAGTGTCAGGATTAGGATTTGGTTGAGGGTTAGTTGCATGTAATTATGCATAATTTATTGTACTACAATATCTAAATGACACTGTAAAAATAAAATGTAGTCAAAACCTGATTGTCCTCATTGCATTACATCACGGATTTGTTTGTAATTACTAGGCTTAAAGGCCATCACTGCATTTTTGCAATTTCAAGCTTCATCTGTATCTCTCAAAGTCCGCACTATTTATGACAATACTGTTCCTAAATCACACAAAACTCAAAGGATTATTTCATATATGTACGCACAGGAGAACTTCTCACAAAACAATTCTACTTAATTCTCAACACATGCGCTCGCACATGAATTTGTTCTTAATCTCGGTCTAATGTTAATGAATCTGGAGTATACTAAATGAGCGACCGTGTGCCCGAGGTTATAGTCGTTTGCATAAAACACACCCAAAAAATCTCCAAATAAGGGCTTTCTGTACAACCCCCTTCCTTTACAGCCTTTCGTCTCGCTCCGCAAACACGTGACCTTCTCTAAAGATGTATCTGAGAGCACATGCATGTGCAACAACCAGCTCAAACACAATAAACACCTTTACCCAGATTTTACCACTCATTAGCCAGCGGTACATATGCATATCTGTGTTGTTATTCAGAGAAACCTTGCAGATGAGCCATAACACTGCTTACTACTTAATATTTCACCGTATATGATGAAATGCAATTCAAGTCGTCATGAAATGGATTATTTCTTGTGACGTAAGTCAGAGTGAAACGGCTTCTTGAATAAGAAAAAAAAAATGTAGGTCGAGACTTGTTTTTGTCCATGGTGAATTGATTGGATGGTTGTGGTTTGCTATTGGTGGATCTCATGTGAGTGACAGGTTGCTCCGCCCTCGCGCCAGTGAACGCATCATCAGAGAAGAGAAGAGATGCTGGGGGGGGGGGAGAAGTTTTGATTAAAGACTACAAGACGCATTAATTAAAAAAAAAAGATATGTTCATGGATAAATTGTTTATAATAAATCCTTCAATATTCCATATAAATAAGAATTGTCAATTTTGATTTCATTGGGGACTTTATGATGAAAAATGTTGTGGTTTCACTTTTACCAACTTTTTTTTTTAAAATTTTGTAACAACTTTTAGTACAAAAGTTGGTGAATCATGATTTGTTCTTGATAACATTTGTGTGTTAGTGAATGAGACCTATCATGTGTCTAAGCCAACTATGTAAAACACTTTCTGAAAAAATTCATAGCATTCATAAACCAGTAGGTGAAAAGTACCCGGGTGACCTTCTTCACACGGCCAGATTGTGTATCCACGTATCTGATGGACACTTTACTATCCCATGAGGCCACACGAGAGGATTTGTGACAGTGAGGCTCAAGTGATGTCTTAAGTCACATGATGATGACAACATGGCTGATGTTGCAGTGTGTCTAAATCTCATTCATACTACACACGTTCAATATTTTTTAATGGTTGCAAAGTAAATTTCTTATTTTTGTTTGAGGTAAAATATTACATTTCACCCAAAAACCAGTTAGTAGCAACTGAATAATCCATTTAATGTTGCTTTTTTTCATGCGTTTGCTTTTATCTTACAGAAACGAGAGTTGAGATCAAAGAATCTGTGAGAGGACAAACAATCTTCATCATCCAAACCATTCCCAGGTAAGAGGAGAAAAGGGAATCAGCACTCTTATTAAGTAAATTCAGGATGTTTAAACTTATTCGTGTCTGTGCATTTTGCAATCTAAAATCATATATAATGCATCATTGTACACAAGGTGATATTTTTAATGTGAGATGTAGTTGCCAGTTAAAGGGTTAGTTCACCCAAAAATCATTTACTCACCCACTTTTTTGCATTGAACGCCAAAGGTGAAAATGCTTTTTTGTATGTATATATACATGTCATCTTACCTTTTATTCTGAACTGCATGTATTGGTCTTTTAGTCCCAGAAGCACTTAAGATTTAGATTTTTCTGTCTCTGTCAGAGATGTTAACACGGCTATAATGGAGCTGCTGATTATGGCCTACGCACTGAAGACCTCCTGTGCCAAGAACATCATCGGCGTGATCCCGTACTTCCCCTACAGTAAACAGTGTAAGATGAGGAAGAGAGGGTCAATAGTGTGCAAACTGCTCGCTTCCATGTTAGCTAAAGCAGGTAATGTCTATGATGTTCCTACTTCTGGTTTCACACTACCACTCAAATGTTTGGACGTAACACTCAGTCTTTATTATTATACGTGCATGCTGAAGACTTGATGACTGCTGTTCCTTCAGTGTCTGCGAAATATGAAAACTATTAATTATATAAAAACATTTTACTCTCTGCATTGGTAATTAGGTCTGACTCATATAATCACAATGGATCTGCACCAGAAAGAGATCCAGGGCTTCTTTACATTCCCTGTGGACAACCTGCGGGCTTCCCCGTTCCTGCTGCAGTACATTCAGGAGGAGGTCGGCAGCATTCACTGACAAAACCTTGATAAAATTATAAATAATCAATTAATAATTAATATTGATAATTTCTCTTCTTCCTATTTCTGTTTTGCATAGGTTCCTGATTATAGAAATGCTATCATTGTAGCCAAGTCCCCATCTGCTGCAAAACGGTAACTGTTCCTGGATTTATCATCCATTTGTATTTGTTTTGTGGGTGAAAGCAGGCCTAGATGAAAGTGTATCTAAACATTGTGAAATGGGTTAAACCGAGCTGAGAACGCTACATTTTTAGATGAAAGTGTTATCCAATTAAATAACACGCTTGGGGCAGATAAAGCATATCACTTTGTGGATGGATCTGCAGAGATTTGTGAGTGCAGATTGCATGTGGGTTTGCTTGTTTACAGTATATCGGAACCAAACTTTCAGGTTGCTTAAATTGCCCCATTATGCTTTTTTTTTCCGGATATTTCCTTTCATGTAATATATAATATAGCTGTTTGTGAATGTTAAAGTTCTTCAACATTTTGAAGATGATAGTGCCGATAAATGGAGTTGTTCACTCCCAAAAGAAAGAACCACTTCTGAACTGCCTGAAACGAGTCGTCAGTCTTATGTCCTGTTACTAAACAATTCGGTCGTGTTTGGTTTCCGGCGTGCACTGTAACCGATCGACCAACTGTCTGACCAATCAGAGCAGAGTAGACCAATCACAACAGCCTGAACCATCTGACCAATCAGAGCAGAGTAGACCAATCACAACAGACCAAGTCAACTGACCAATCACAACAGACCAAGTCAACTGACCAATCACAGCAGACCAAGTCAACTGACCAATCAGAGCAGAGTAGACCAATCTCAACAGCCTGGGCCATCTGACCAATCAGAGCAGAGTAGACCAATCACAGCAGACCAAGTCAACTGACCAATCAGAGCAGAGTAGACCAATCACAACAGACTGGGCCATCTGACCAATCAGAGCAGAGTAGACCAATCACAACAGACTGGGCCATCTGACCAATCAGAGCAGAGTAGACCAATCTCAACAGACTGGGCCATCTGACCAATCAGAGCAGAGTAGACCAATCACAACAGCCTGGGCCATCTGACCAATCAGAGCAGAGTAGACCAATCACAGCAGACCAAGTCAACTGACCAATCAGAGCAGAGTAGACCAATCACAACAGACTGGGCCATCTGACCAATCAGAGCAGAGTAGACCAATCACAACAGCCTGAACCATCTGACCAATCAGAGCAGAGTAGACCAATCTCAACAGACTGGCTTCTGATTCCACTTAACAGTTCTGGGGCCTCATTTATAACCGTTATGTACGCACAAAACATGCCCTGAAGAGGCGTACACCATTTCCGACGCACAAGTTGTGATTTATAAAAACAAACTTGACAGGAAAATTTGTGCACGTGCACGCAAACTCTGACCCGTGCGTACGAACGTTCTGGAGACAGAGCAGTTTGGCGACACCGATGGTGAGCTGGAGTTAAATGTCTTCTTGGTCATTTTAGACAGAACATTATACATATACAGAAAGATAATACAAATATAATTTCACTCACCAAGCCTATCACTTGAAGCAAATATCCATCGCTTCTTAAATGTCCGTGCCAGCGAGCGCCTTGGGCCGTTTAGTGAAACCTATATATCTCACGGCAGATGAAGTAAATCTTGATTATGAGTCCTAATCATAAATACAGTGCATGCTCACAATAACAGTTTAAATAAATAAAATAATTATTTAAACTCTTTTACCTCTGATATAAACATTTAGATTAAATATGCCATTCTCATTAATGGAGTTAAACGCTTAAATGACATTAAATCATTACTGAGAAGTAAATATAAATATTTGTTGTGGATGCGATGCTTTTGAACACTTTTCCTCTGGCATGCTGTGTTTTAATGTTTTAACTACAGAGAGAATTGCTTATCATGATAAAATCGCAGATTGTCTGAGAAAATATTTTCGTGCATCAATTAGAAATACTATTTTGGCCAGTGGAAAAGATTGAAAAAAACTTTCTCTGGAATGCATTTTACACTAATTGATTTATTTCTTCAAAAACAAGGCAAGGGTAGACTACTAAATTATGTTTCTCAATGTAATGTGGACGGCACATCCATATTCTTATATTTTCCTAATGTCTTTTACCGTTAAACGTGGTATCAGGTGGATGAATAAGCTTATGCAAATGATATGCAGATGAGGATATGCATAGTAAAACTAAGCATTGTAAACTCATATATGGTTATTTCGGGGTAGAGACACATGTGCGCACAATCTCCCGCTGACTGAGATTTATGAAGGGAATTCTGCGCAGGTTCTGGCGTACGCACGGTTTTATAAGTCCGAGTATTTTTTAGCGTACGCCGTTTTTGGCTTTCAGGCGCACGTACACTTTTAGTAAGGATCCTACGCAAAGTTTTATAAATGATACCCCTGGTTTGTTAACAATTCAATTAATTGTATACTTCTAACAAAACAAGCATGTTTCTTTTCCCCACACAAGATAATGTAAGACTTTTGGATATAGCACTAGGACTTTTTCAGTTTCAGCGGTCACTATGAACTGTCATTATTATGTAAAAGTGTTCAGGAAGGCTAAATCTCCTAGAATTACTGAATCCCAACCTGGCGCTCATGAACATCTAGGCGAGAGGCCCATAAGGAACATGTCTGTATGTGTCCCCTCTCTTGTCGTTGTCTCTCCAGGGCTCAGTCGTATGCGGAGCGCTTGCGTCTCGGTCTGGCCGTCATGCACGGAGAAGCTCAGTGTTCGGAGTCCGACATGGCAGATGGGCGGCATTCTCCTCCATGTGTCCGCAACACCTTTGGACACTCCGGCTTGGAGTTGCCATGTAAGAACCACCACACTGTAGATCTGCACGACCCAGCAGCTTGAACCCTGCGACTAATCATTATTAAAAGTCTTAACCAGGTTATAAACACTAACTAGACCAGCAAGACAGCTGAACACTCACAAAACCTGTCGAAACATGTCCTGCTTACATTTGACCCTAAAATCAAAAGAAAGAAATGGTTATTTTTTATAAACAAAATTAATGTGAATAATTTTTCATTGAGATTTTATTTTCTGACAAAAATCTCATTCTTATTAGTGTAATAATAATAATTAAAAAAACACAACAAAGATATGAAATGGAGGTTCTGAAGTATTTGTACCTCATGGTAGTATGTCTTGTACTGCCTTTAAGGTGATTAAGTAAAAAAATATTGTATTTCAGTAATAGTATTACAGTATTAAGAATTACCAGTAAGAAATATGGGAATTTAATAAAAAACCTCAAAAGTAGAATATAAAGAAGCAGTGTGGTTTTGAGAATTAGGGTGGAAATGGTCCATGTATGTTGCATTCATTTGTTTTTGGTTTAATATTGAAAGCAGAAAAGGCACATTTTTTTATGAAGACGAATTCTTGTTGAAAAGTTGAATTTTAAATGATTTTTTATTTCTGATTTCAGTATTAAACCAAAAAAAAAAAAAAGAAAAAAAAAATGAATGTACACAGACTGAAAATTTGTTTAATTGTCATGAACATAAAGCCACAGTGCAAGAAAGACTTGGTGGGGAAACAAATGAACAAATTATATTTAATTTTATTTAGGCTATGCAATTTAAATGTACCAAAAAAATGAATTCTTTTGATTTTGGGGTGAAATGTAATCTAGCCTGAGATTTATACCGTGATCCTGTTAATAAAGGGGTCGATTGCAGCATTCAACCTGCCGAATAGCTGATTCTGGAGATCTGTTAAGTAGTTCAAGATAGGTCAAGAGGTTTTTTAACCCTCCCACATTCATTTAGCTCTGTCTCTAGATGTTTACTAAGGCTTTGTCTCAAAACCTAGTCAGTACGCGAGCTACCTAGACAATCTGCTCTGCTCTGTTCTCTTCCAAAACCTAGCAAGCCACCAAACTAGAAACACAGTTTATGCTATATTGGTAGCTCTTGACTCGGAATGTCTTAGTAGTAATGTCTAAGTATTTAGAAGTTGATTAAAGTTCTTCCCTATTGTGACATACTGTATATCATAGTGAAACTAACTAAATATTTCAAAATGGGGACCTCAGTTTTAACTCTTAAGATTTGGAGTGGGACCTACTAGCAGAATTGATTGGTGACTTTCATCCCAATAATCAACAGTGCCCAATACTGTATGGTCCTGAGATTTTTTAACAAACTTTGAAAAATATCTCTCTCTGAAGCATGTGCATATATAACCCACAAATAAAGAACTGCACAAACTCTTAGAATATGTTTGTTAGTTACCATTACAAGACTTGTTTTCCGTGACGAAAGTTTTACGGCATGCTGTTTAGGTAGACACTGACCAATAAAGGAATTAGACAAGTCATCTAGGTTTTGAGAGACAGCTATTATTTTCAATGTTCCATGTGCTATTTGTTTTAGATTTTAAGATACCCGTGTCTTACCTTGAGCACGCAGTTTACTTAAGAAGTTCATAAACACACTGTGATATTTAGCATATTAATTTATGAGCAGGTTTTGTGTGGTAGGTGTCTTGGCCTTTATATACTCACATAGCCTGAGAGGAGTTCACTCCAAGTAGCTCTATGTACATTTATGTGTGGACTTTAACAATCCTCAAAATACCCTCTCTTGTATTTGTTCTCAATTTGAAGGCACTTAATTTAACTTGAAGTGTAAAAAAAAGTTTATTTGAAAGCTTAGAAAAATGTTTAATAAGGATTGTTGAAGTCCTAGTTTCTTGTTTGTATGTTCTATCATTTGTGTGTGGATTTTTGTTTAACGTGATGTTTATTTATTGGTAATAGGCAAACAACAAGTTCCGTTCCCAGGCATAGAGCTCCCAAGTATGACGGTTAACTCTATTTGCTACCGATCACATCAGTGAACACGCTGAAATGTTTCCTATTGCATGCGTGCAGTGGCTGAGGTCTCTCAGTGTCTGTGATCCCAGCACTCTGAAGTACTTACTCGATTCACCATAAGGTCTTTATCAATTCACCCAAAAATGTTTTCATTATTACTCACCCTTGTGTCGTTCCAAACCCGTAAGATTTTCGTTCATCTTTGGAACACAAATGAAGAAATTTTAAATGAAATATGAGAGATTTCTGTCCCTCCATTGACAGCTATGCAGCTACCACTTTGACGCTTCAAAAAGTTCATAAAGGGATCATAAAACTAATCCATATGAATCGAGCAGTTTATCAACATTTTCTGAAGAGTCTAGATCGCTTTATATGATGAATAGATTTGATTTAGGCTTTTATTCACATATAAACATTGATGAGTGAACACAAGAGTAACACAAGAATGAACCTCATTGGTTCTCGCTGAAGCTCAAACGTGCTGCGTAACACGAGAATGAACCTCATTGGTTCTTGCTGAAGCTCAAACGTGCTGCGTAACACAAGAATGAATCTCATTGGTTCTTGCTGAAGCTCAAACGTGCTGCGTAACATGAGAATGAACCTCATTGGTTCTTGGGGAAGCTCAAACGTGCTGCGTAACATGGGAATGAACCTCATTGGTTCTTGGGGAAGCTCAAACGTGCTGCGTAACATGAGAATGAACCTCATTGGTTCTTGGGGAAGCTCAAACGTGCTGCGTAACATGAGAATGAACCTCATTGGTTCTTGCTGAAGCTCAAACGTGCTGCGTAACACGAGAATGAATCTCATTGGTTCTCGCTGAAACTCAAACGTGCTGCGTAACACAAGAATGAATCTCATTGGTTCTTGCTGAAGCTCAAACGTGCTGCGTAACACAAGAATGAATCTCATTGGTTCTTGCTGAAGCTCAAACGTGCTGCGTAACACGAGAATGAACCTCATTGGTTCTTGCTGAAACTCAAACGTGCTGCGTAACACGAGAATGAACCTCATTGGTTCTTGCTGAAGCTCAAACGTGCTGCGTAACACAAGAATGAATCTCATTGGTTCTTGCTGAAGCTCAAACGTGCTGCGTAACACAAGAATGAATCTCATTGGTTCTTGCTGAAACTCAAACGTGCTGCGTAACACGAGAATGAACCTCATTGGTTCTTGCTGAAGCTCAAACGTGCTGCGTAACACAAGAATGAATCTCATTGGTTCTTGCTGAAGCTCAAACGTGCTGCGTAACATGTGAATGAACCTCATTGGTTCTTGGGGAAGCTCAAACGTGCTGCGTAACATGAGAATGAACCTCATTGGTTCTTGGGGAAGCTCAAACGTGCTGCGTAACATGGGAATGAACCTCATTGGTTCTTGGGGAAGCTCAAACGTGCTGCGTAACATGAGAATGAACCTCATTGGTTCTTGGGGAAGCTCAAACGTGCTGCGTAACATGAGAATGAACCTCATTGGTTCTTGCTGAAGCTCAAACGTGCTGCGTAACACGAGAATGAATCTCATTGGTTCTCGCTGAAACTCAAACGTGCTGCGTAACACAAGAATGAATCTCATTGGTTCTCGCTGAAGCTCAAACGTGCTGCGTAACTCAAGAATGAACCTCATTGGTTCTTAGGGAAGCTCAAACGTGCTGCGTAACACGAGAATGAATCTCATTGGTTCTTGGGGAAGCTCAAACGTGCTGCGTAACACGAGAATGAACCTCATTGGTTCTTGCTGAAGCTCAAACGTGCTGCATAACACGAGAATGAATCTCATTGGTTCTTGGGGAAGCTCAAACGTGCTGCGTAACACGAGAATGAATCTCATTGGTTCTCGCTGAAGCTCAAACGTGCTGCGTAACACGAGAATGAACCTCATTGGTTCTCGCTGAAGCTCAAACGTGCTGCGTAACTCAAGAATGAACCTCATTGGTTCCTGCTGAAGCTCAAACGTGCTGCGTAACACGAGAATGAACCTCATTGGTTCTTGCTGAAGCTCAAACGTGCTGCGTAACACGAGAATGAATCTCATTGGTTCTCGCTGAAACTCAAACGTGCTGCGTAACTCAAGAATGAACCTCATTGGTTCCTGCTGAAGCTCAAACGTGCTGCGTAACACGAGAATGAACCTCATTGGTTCTTGCTGAAGCTCAAACGTGCTGCGTAACACGAGAATGAATCTCATTGGTTCTCGCTGATGCTCAAACGTGCTGCGTAACACGAGAATGAACCTCATTGGTTCTCGCTGAAGCTCAAACGTGCTGCGTAACACGAGAATGAAACTCATTGGTTCTCGCTGAAGCTCAAACGTGCTGCGTAACACATGAGAATGAACCTCATTGGTTCTCGCTGAAGCTCAAACGTGCTGCGTAACACAAGAATGAATCTCATTGGTTCTCGCTGAAACTCAAACGTGCTGCGTAACTCAAGAATGAACCTCATTGGTTCCTGCTGAAGCTCAAACGTGCTGCGTAACACGAGAATGAACCTCATTGGTTCTTGCTGAAGCTCAAACGTGCTGCGTAACACGAGAATGAATCTCATTGGTTCTCGCTGATGCTCAAACGTGCTGCGTAACACCAGAATGAACCTCATTGGTTCTCGCTGAAGCTCAAACGTGCTGCGTAACACGAGAATGAACCTCATTGGTTCTCGCTGAAGCTCAAACGTGCTGCGTAACACGAGAATGAACCTCATTGGTTCTTAGGGAAGCTCAAACGTGCTGCGTAACACGAGAATGAACCTCATTGGTTCTTGAGGAAGCTCAAACGTGCTGCGTAACACGAGAATGAACCTCATTGGTTCTTGGGGAAGCTCAAACGTGCTGCGTAACATGAGAATGAACCTCATTGGTTCTTAGGGAAGCTCAAACGTGCTGCGTAACATGAGAATGAACCTCATTGGTTCTTAGGGAAGCTCAAACGTGCTGCGTAACATGAGAATGAACCTCATTGGTTCTTAGGGAAGCTCAAACGTGCTGCGTAACATGAGAATGAACCTCATTGGTTCTTGGGGAAGCTCAAACGTGCTGCGTAACATGGGAATGAACCTCATTGGTTCTTGGGGAAGCTCAAACGTGCTGCGTAACATGGGAATGAACCTCATTGGTTCTTGGGGAAGCTCAAACGTGCTGCGTAACATGAGAATGAACCTCATTGGTTCTTGGGGAAGCTCAAACGCGCTGCGTAACATGAGAATGAACCTCATTGGTTCTTGCAGAAGCTCAGACGTGGTGCGTAGCGGTTTGAAATTACATGATGGTGAGTAAATGTTGACAGAATTTTCAGTTTTGGGTGAACTAACCCTTTATATTTTCCTCATTATTATGAGCACAAGAGCAGTTAAAAATGTAAAAATAGCAATTGTAAGCTATTACGAAGAGTAGGGGTGGGCGGTATATCTAAAATATCACATGCAAACAATTTGTATCTCGATTTAGTTATTTTCAATATAAATTCAATTATAAAAGTTTTTTTTTTAATAAGCATGTCGTACCGACTCTTTTTGCATAATCCATTTAATTAAGGGGGTCTTATGCTTTTTCAATTTTAGTTAGTGTGTAATGTTGCTGTTTGAGCTTTGTAAACTTGCAATCTTTTTCATGCTCAAAGTCCAAAAGGGAAGAGATTTTATTTAAGAGAATCCACTTTCCAAGAACTAGAACACGTTTTTTCCAGATGTTACTCATTTAAATAATCCCCGTCCACAGAATCCCACGTCCCCTTCTCGCCTGTTTGAGCGAGAAGACCGTGTTGAGAGATGCTGTTTTTTCCACCCCGTTTCCAAAACTTATTTGTTTGACCTTCCTACAGTGGAGGAACTTAGAGTGCTTGACTTAACGGCTTCCAGAAACTAACAGTACAATGCACGAAAGCTTCTTCTGAAATACAGCAGTTCCCACTTGTTGTTTGTGGATCACACATTGAAAGTATGTCTTATTACTTGTAGTTGCGTTTTCAATTAACAGTTCCAATTATACGTTTTATGTTGTTGCTACGATGTAACGAAGGGCAAAGCTGACTGGCTTCGCTCGCCTGCTAGCCAACATTAGTGTTGATATAGTGTCTACTGTAGCTCTTGCTAGCTCTCGCCTTTTTCTACCACCCCTTAGGAAAATTAACCATAGTTTCGTGATTGATTACTCTTTGTATTACCACAGTTTTCCGACAAATATCATGATTCAATTGTGTATAACATATCTAAAATGTATAAGAAAAAAAAAACACTGAAACGTCCCATGAAATCTGTTCATAATAGCCGTTTTGAACGATCCTCATGTTGAAATTCTTAAGTCTAAATAGGTTTGAAATTGACGCCATCTTAATATTTACATCTGAGAGGAGCTCGCGGTTATGGTAAGGGGCGTGACATTTCCCGAACACGCGCTAAGTGGTGCCAATCACAACACACTGGGCCAGCCAACCAATCACAGCACAGTATTTCAGAAGGAGGGGCTTCATCAAAAATGACTCATTCGAGTCGGACTGGGGAGAGAGGTGCTGTAATGTAAAATATGTGAGACATAATGTGTGTTTTTTGAACAATCAAGCGTGAAAGCGTATTCTAGTACACCCCAAAAACAAGACTTCGTAAAAGGGCATAATACGACCCCTTTAACTATTTTACTAATCAGGTACTTCTTCATCTTATGTTATATTTTTATTTGAAATGGTTCATTAGAAGCCGTTGTACATAGCTGTTCAAATACATCCACCATAGATACTGCCATACCGCCCAGCCTTAATATCATTTTACCAAACAATTGTAAAAATGGATGTTTAAGCTTCAGAGTGCTTCACTCAAACAGAACTAAGAAACCTCAAATGAAGTGCTTTTTTTCAATTTCCATGTAATTATCATCACTTGTTCCATCGAAATGGAACCATTGAATGTTTGTCCGAGAGATATGCCTTTATTTGTGATCCAGGCTCATCTAGCCAATCAACACACCATGCCTGCTTATGAAAACCCCTAGACTGGAGTTTTTAAATGGTAGTCTTTTAGCTGCTTGTAACCAAGGCTCTTGCATCGTCTTGGAAACACATGACCTTGATAAATAGAGGAAGGTGTTCGCTGAAAGTTTCTATCAAGGGTTAGAGTTTTTGATACAGGGCTAATTTAAAAACAAGCTAGCATATGTGAAGTCAACATATGCTTTGTGGTCTCATAAGCTTGTAGAAGTACACATTAAGAAACAGTTTGACATCACCATTGAGAATATAACTTATGCAATAGAAAACTTGTTAATATCTACTACCAGACTTCAAAATTGCCGTTGTCTATCCGCACTTGTTGGGGTCGTTCACACAGGACGTCATCTTGTATTCCATCTGCGTTTTTTTTTATATCATTTCTATATTAAGTGTCTAATTTTGTTAACGAAAACGATGACTTCAATTACCTTTTTTTTATGACTAAGACTGATTACAAGACAACAAGGTCATTAAACGATTACTGTGACTATATTAATATGCAATATTGTTGACGAAAAAACCCCCAAGACTAATATGTAGTTAAAAAATAAAAACTTTACCTTTGTCGTAAAAAAAAGAGACAAAAAAATTTACAAACTGCTGTACAAGCCTCGAGCAGGGTTTCCAGGTCTGCACAACTATCCGTGGCCATTTGCTAATCAAAACTAGTCTGATCATGGCCAAAACTAGTGTTCTTGGGGGTAAAAATCGCATTTTGTTTGCTTTAACCTGTGGACTACAACAACTTTGCAACACTGACTATGAGCTTTCATGCTTACGGTTGCCAGATGTCAGGAGTTAAATCCCCCAGTCAGAGCTTTTCTGTTAAAAGAATCATTTTTTTTGCCCGGTGTTTTACCTCATCTTTGCAATCTGGCAACCATATTTAATAGAAAAACCTTAAAGAGATAGTAAATTCTGTAATCATTTTCCAACCTCAAGTTTTTCCAAACCTGTATGAATTTCTTTCTTCTGCTGAACACGATAGAAGATATTTTGAAGAATGTCAGAAACCAAACAGTTGATGGACTCCATTGACATCCAAATTTTTTTTTTTCATACTATGGAAGGCAATGATTATCAATTTAACCATTATGCAGCATGACAAAAATGTGACGTTTTCATTTACTAAAACTAGAATAAAATCCCCAGCTATTAAGTTGACTAAAACTTGACTAAACATGATAAGGTTGACTAAATATGATGATAAACTAAAAAGTACTTTTGACACAGGACTAAGACTAAATAAAAAAAATAGTTGACAAAATTAACACCACTTGATGTGTCACGATAAATACATTTTTCTGATGGTTTGGCCAAATATTTTCAGTTGCCAGAGATTCGGTGCATTACTATTTTAACGACATTGTGTCATGTAAAGCCCTGTTCACACTGAAAGCCATTAAAACTGGAGTTCTCCTGAGTCTGTGTGCTGCTGGTTTCTAGTACTCGAATTCAGTGTCTAACTTTGTCAGGCGGGAAATCACTGGACTATCATTGGTAGTCGCTGCGTCATGTCTCTGATCATTAGATAATCTCTGCCATTTGACTAATCACTGTGGAAAATTACGTAATTTCAACGCTGATTGGCTGATAACACTGCAATAATACACAGTCTTAAACAGAATGCAGACAAGGAAAACATCTACAATGAATATCTACAGTTAAAATGTTGCTCACAAAAATTATATAATGGCCCCCTTTCACATTTCCGGTGTTCTCAGAAGCGGAAACCTACAGTGGTAAACGGAAACTATGACACATAACTTTTGCTTACCATTTGCTGCAATAGCTGAAGAAAATAAAATCCATTATGGCGTTTCTATGATGTTCCAAAAAGGGAACAAAATATCAAGTTATTTACTACGTTGGTCAGAAGACAGAAACATTTCAAATTTGCCATCACTCTCTCAGCCGTTACGTAAGAAACGCTCATTGTGTAAACTAGTAATGCAAAGCCAATGTAATACACAGTAGGAGTTAAAAATGTAGATGTTCATTACAGAAAAAAAAAATGAATATAGGTTTTAAAATAGCTAGATTTACAACGTGGTACAATAATGGTAGAAATGCATTATCCCAGTCTGTAAAAAGGGTCCATGTGAGTTTTGGTCACCAGTGAAGATGATGTTTGGTGCATCTGTGTGCTGGTGCCTCCAATGCACCCCATCAGCTGTAACTCTTTTTAAGTCAAGATCTCGTCCTCTGTGAATTGCTCCTTTCAAATGTGCCATTTTAGATGTGTATATCATAGCAGCTCCTTGCAGTAGTGGGTCTATAAGCCTGTAAGGTCTGCAAACCTTGTAAATCTGATAAAGATATTTCTGTATAAATATCGAAAAGCTTTGTGGGTCTTGCTGTTGATGAAAGGCATGTGTTGAAGGCATGCACAACTCCTTTAACCCTATGTATTCATAAATCGACCCGCCAGTCTTCCTCTCTCGTGTTTACTTGGGTCGGTGTGTTTTTTGGCTGTGTTCCAGTGTCTTTCCTCTGGATGAATGACATTAGCCCTTCTTGACCTCTCCTAAATTACAGCAATGTCCTGGAGTCTGTCATGCTGACTCAAGGACAGATTGATTGATTGATGTGTAGTTTCCTGCACTGACTCTTAGTGTAAACCTCTAGACATTTGCCTCTATGATTGGGTACATTGGGGACCAAGAGATGATCATTTTGATTTCTGCATGGCATGTGCCGCGATGAGTTTTTTCATTGCTATTTGGATTGAATTCAGTTGTAGGTGGGGTAAAATGGGAAGCATTCTCCAACAAATAGGCTAGTGTTATGCTATGCTATGCTATGCTATAGGGTCCCTTCAGGACTCTTTAAATTTTAGTTGTACCATTTGATTATATGGGAGGGTTGGGCCATTACTTAAAGTTCTAGGCCATTTTTATACACTTCTTACCCCATCTTACCCAATCTACTTTGATGATGGAATGTGATTGGTTATAAAAATGATTTCCTGAAATGATGTGCAACACCAGTTTATATTTTTCTTTATAGTAATGATGGCCAAGGAGAAACCACCCATCACTGTTGTCGGAGATGTTGGAGGCCGCATCGCCATCATTGTCGTAAGAAATGCAGATTTTTGGAGTAGTTAACAGTATGATGGTCTTTTTTTTTTTTTGATTGATTGATTGATTGATTGACCGGATGAGCAATGCATGTTGTTTCCGTCCTGTAGGATGACATCATCGATGATGTGGAGGACTTCGTGGCAGCAGCTGAGATCCTGAAAGAGAGAGGAGCTTATAAGATCTACATCATGGCCACCCACGGGCTCTTGTCTGCGGACGCCCCGCGCCTCATCGAGGAGTCCGCTATAGACGAAGTGAGTCTTTCGGCTCATTTACTTCAACATCCACTGAGAAGTGAATGGCTCATTCTGCTTCTCCAAAAAAAGCACATTAAATCTAAGTTATGCTATGCACATTTCAAGCATTAAAATTCCAGATTTACCATGAATCAGTTAAAGTAATGTAACGGTTGTAATTAGTAACATTTTACAAGGCTCTAACCAGCCCTTACCATTTAGGATTGGAGGAACCTTAATAAACTGCCATTGAAAGATGTAATTGACCATTGCTTTGAATAATGAGGGGGATGTCTATGGTCGTCCCTCAGTGTCTATGGAAAATATGGCCCTGATACGTTGGGTGTGAATTGGGAAAAGAAGGTGATTTATTTGAAAAAAGTTTAACGGTAACTCTTAAATGGAATAAAATAAATTCATAGGGGCTTTCGCATCTTTCATAGATCTTTTTCTGGTTGCATTCGCACCGCCAGTAGGAACTCTGAAGTGACGTAAGCCGCGGTTTTTTATTTTGACGGTGCGGCGGACCTTCATTTTGATGGCGCTGAGAACTCCAGAGGCTAAGCACACAGTGCTGGCATTTTCCGTATTCATTAGTTTACGATCCGTCTAACAGTCCTGTCTAATACGTTATTAAATAGAACTGTTATACATAAAAAGACAGTATATGATAAGGTATTAGCGTATGCCGTGTGGTTGATGTCCAGTGTCACTATCACGAGCAGAAATACATAATCATGTTTGGCCTGATCCTCTCAAAGTGGCGTTGGATTTTCTCCTTAGCGTAAAGGTTAAGAGGTCCATCTATCACTGTTTTCCATGTTGTTTCTGGAGTAAATATACAGGTAAATATTTTTTGAGACAGGAATTTTGGGTTTTCATGAGCTGTATGCCAAAATCATCAGTATTAAAACAATAAAAGACCTGAAATATTTCAGTTGGTGTGCAATGAATCTAAAATATATGAAAGATTAATTTTTATCATTACGGAAAATAATGAACTATCACAATATGCTAATTTTTTGAGAAGGACCTGTATAGTCTATAATCTGTGTGTTACACACCTTTTTTTTTTTTAAATGGCGGGTGCTGGTGCTTCGCATGTGTTCGGCCAATCAGCACACACTAACATCACTGGTAGTTCCTATAGTGCTGGGTTAGACCTGACTCTGAAGTAGGAGCTAAATTAGTCCCTCCAAAAGGAGTTCCTAGAACTAAAATCGTTCCTAGTTCTTGCGGCGCAAACACACCACAATCTGGGTACTTCCGCCAATAGTTCTAGGAACTATGAAAAGGTTCCTCCGGTGCGAAAGCCCCTTTAGTTCACAAGTGACACTATTTCTTGAGAATGAGCTAGATGTCCATCAGCAGTTACTTACCTTCATTTACATGGATGCTTAATACGTTCATCAACAAGTATTGATTTTAACAGATATTAAAAGGATGTTTGCATGACCAAATGTTTGGGATGTCTTTCAGGTGGTGGTGACCAACACTGTCCCTCACGAGGTGCAAAAGCTGCAGTGTCCTAAGATCAAGACGGTGGATGTCAGTATGATCCTGGCCGAGGCTATCCGACGCATTCACAACGGGGAGTCAATGGCCTACCTCTTCCGCAATATCACAGTAGACGACTAGCCAACAGACACATTTGGGTTAGAGATAAAGGTGAGGTGTAGAGTTTAGGGAAGTATCTTACGCAGTTGAGAGGTGTGCCAATGCAGTTCCCCATTCCCAGCACAACCGAGGACTATACAATCACCTTCATTTCTCAAATGAACCGCTTTTATTCGTAAATACAATCTAAACACACTCCCATTGCCAAATGACATGAATTCCAAAATAAACGAACAATTACTCAAACCTGTTAATTTACGCACACATCCAATCTTTTTCTAAACGCAGATATGAAGTTATATTCCAATGCAAAGAATAGAAATTATGCAAGTGTTCACCTGTACATCTGTTTTTACCTTTAAGTGATGTTCTGCAGTAAAACCGTCAGTTATGGATCTACTTTCCTGTCAGAAAACTGGTTTATTTTGGTTTAATTCTGCGTAATGAAGTTGCTTCAAAATGAAAGGGAGAGTTCACCCTCCTTCATGTTTATTCGTTTAATGTTGTTATAAACCCATATGACTTTCTTTCATCTGTGGAACACACTAGGCAAAAAGGTTTCTATTTGCAAAAACCTTTGCAATCCAGAATACTCTTCAATTTTGTTCAAAATATTCTTTGGTGTTCCAAGGAGGAGTGAAATTCATACAGGTTTGGCCAGATTGGATGGTCAGTAAACTTTTTTGGGCGAACTATGCCTTTAACACTTGATATCTGTAGTGCACGTTACAGGCCCGGGTATACTTCATTTATCTGCGCTCCGCTCCATCCCGCACACAGCCTTCAAAGTATACTCAACTGCGGATGGACGAGTTCGACACGCCAATTGCTTTTCTATACTCCACCTGACATCAGAGGGCAGCACTGAGTCGTGTCACAGGGCATTCCCTCAGACGGATAGAAGAAGAAATGTAGCGGATCTGCCATTGCATGCAAAGTTTAGAGCAGGAACCAAAGCCAAAACGATGGAGAATGATATGCTGCTTGGTTTACTGTTGTTTTGTATTGCTCTTTCCACACACTTCTTCGACTACTGTACAGTACATCACCGCCGTGTTTTGGGCTTTTATTGTCTGAACATTCACCTTGAGCATGAGCAGTTGTGCATTACTATCGTGCCGTTGTCTGCCGACCCTCCTGGTGACACAAATGACGTCACTCGAACAGTGCGCGGACGTTGCAGATCGCGGATGGTGGAAGTATACTTGGGCTTAAGGAACCAAAATATAATATTTTACAGAAAATACTGGTTTCTGACTTTAGTTGGTTGATACGTGTCATGAATGTTTACTCTATTGGACAAAAGCAAAACAGTAACACTTTACAATAAGGCCTCATTTGTTAATATTAGTTAATGCATTGGCTAACATGAACATACTATGAGAAACATATTTTTACAGCATGTGTTAACCTTTGTTAATGTTACCTCTGGTGGTCTTCGGTCATTTTTGACCGAAATTTTTTACATTTTTAAAATCATGGACATGATTAGAAAAGATTAAAAGGTTAAATTGTATCTAGTGGAAGCATTTGGTACTGCAGCCAAACAAAATCTGACCGAAAGCTAACTTTTTGGATATTTAAAGCTCAAATTTGGAACACAACTGGTTTAGATTTATGGCTTTGATTTTCTTGCAGTTTTAGAGAAAAAATGATTTATAATCTGCCAAGTGTCGGCTTTGAGACATCAAACTTAAGTCTCTGCTCTAAAGCATTCAAGATTTACCACAGTTTGAGGTCTGTGCTCGAAAAGTGAATTAACAGATTTTAAATACAGCGTACATATAATTTAGTATATATAAAAAGCACAAAAAATACAAAATATTACTTAAAAAGCATTATCAAACTAAAATATAGTTCATTTCATTGGTCCAGGGAGTTAAAAATACAGTTGTACATTGTTCATGTTTGTTCACAGTGCATTAACTAATGTTAACAGATACAACTTTTGATTTTAATAAGTTAACAAATGAAACCCTATTGTAAAGTGTTAGACAAAACAAAAGAGCTCTGAACGAAGCAAGTACTGTGAATACTTCTCCATATACTCCTACACGACACAACTAAGGGAGTGAAAATGGCACGTAAAACACGTCTCCGTCTAATCTGTTCCTCAGTTTCAGTGTATTTTTACATTTCAGTTACATTCGTGTGCTAATGTCAAGATCTGGCGTAGATGATGATGATGATACAACCATTTGTATATCTTGAAGGCATTTGAAACCATATTAGCAATACTAGGCCAATAAATGCAGTACACTGTGAATGTTTGGCTAGTTAACTGATAATACCATTTAGCTTTTGCTTCCTGATTAAACCTTAGATGAGCGGGATAGCTGAGGGATGGAGAACACATGCACCAGCACTGCCCCCCCGCACGTCCCCATTCTTCCTCTGTGTGCGTCTGCCGTCGGCCGTTGTTCGTTTGAAGCCCAGCAACACTTCTTTCTTGTAACCTTATCTTCCACATCTCCGTGTTCCTCAATTGTATGTCGACTAGCTGTTTCCCCAGTGCCTCACACTCCGTGAGAGTGACAGCGGTTGCTATGGCAACCTTATTCGAAGGCGTTATATTTTTTTGCTGTTGTGCAAATATTGTCCGACCTTACAGAGAACATACATTTCTTTTGCTACGATGTACTGTATCTGCTGTTGCTTTGCAAGCTTATTTTTGTAAATAAACACAGATTCGCCTCATGCCGCTCTCTGTTGAATCTTTATTGAACTGAAACATAGAGATTAAGCACATGCAGTTTTCCATGATGCGTTCAAACGTGTCCGTCAAGCTCCTGTCGGGACGTGATGTCATCAGTGGTCTTCAGTGTCAGAGGACGAGTTCGTGAAGGACCCTTTACTTGCTCTTAACTCCTCAGGTTTTACACACGACACTGAGGAGCTTAGACCAAGTCAAGCGACCCAGACAAGAGAACCTATGGAAACATTTTGCCTCAAAATCGCCTATTTTTTAGGATAATTATGACTTTTTTTGTTGTAATGTGACATTGCGTTCATGACAATTAAGCACACATAGTAAAAAAAGTACAGACAAATCATGGTAACGACTGTTTTCTTTTGTTAATGATTTGCAATATTTATTAATACAAATGAATCTGCATAAATATAAAAGTGGTATATCTAAACCTTAAACTACCATGATGTATAAATACATTTATTTATTTTATTTTGTCCGGTGCTAAATGGTCCTAAAGTCTACATTTTCTAGAAGGAAAATATAATAATATAATACAAAATTTTATAAAATTGGACCCAGACATCCCAAAAATGACAATTGTCATCCATTCACCCTCATGTCATTCCAAACTTGTAGGACTTTCTTTCTTTCATGGAACATTAAACATTTATCACATATTTATGTATTTGAATGTCAATTGTTCCACAGGAGAAAGTCACGACATGAGGGTGAGTAAATAATGACATAATCTTCCCTTTTTTGGTTAAACTAACCCTTTAAAAGGTTTTACCCACACAAATATTGACAACATTCTCAAGGATCTTTACATCTGAAAAGAACAATGATAGTTGAACACAAAAAACTAAAGCAAACGTACCTCCAAGTGTTGTGCAGGTGTGTCAGGTTTAACACTGTTATCAGTCAGACACAGATCTGGTGAGAGTGGCACTTATCAGTGTGTGGATGACTGATGAACAGACAGCTGTGTGTTTAAACCCGGCTCGAAGAGGAACTAGACATGCAGCGTTTAGAGGTCACTTCCCACTTGTGGCCTCAGGAAACAATACACCTTGTATCTACTGTTCGTATGAAAGGGGAAATACTCACAGTTTGTGTGTGTGTCAGTGGGCAACGGTGTTTTAGTGCGGAGACATTTTGGGAAACCTTAAAGTCATTACAATCATGCATGGCTGACTTTCTTCTATTTAATACATAAAGAGATGTATTTAATACATCATTTTCAAAAGGGACTAAAAAGCACCATAATAGTAGTTCATATGACTTGTGTATTTTATGACAAGTCTATATGTGTATGAGGAACATACCGAAATTAAACCCTTTCAACATTTTCACTTATTTCATTGGCATATTTCACTCGTATATGTGTGTCTGTGTATCCATCATAAAATCGCATCGCAATATATATATATGTATATGTATATGTGTGTGTGTATACACACCGCCATTCAAAAGTTTTGGATCGGTAAGATTTTTAATGTTTTTAAAAAGAAGTCTCTTCTGCTCACCAAGGTTGCATTTATTTGATAAAAAAACAAAAAAACTTTTTTTATTTTAATACGTAATTTATTCCTGTGATCAAAGCTGAATATTCAGCATCATTACTCCAGTCTTCAGTGTCATCAGAAATAAAAGAATATTATAATTATAGACATTAATACTTTTATTCAGCAAGGGTGCATGAAATTGATCGATTTACAGTAAAGACATTTATAGTTTTACCAAAAATGATATTTCAAATAAATGAAATGTAACTTTCTATTCATCAAAGAATCTGGAAAAAAATGTACACAACTGTTTTCAACATTGATAATAATAATGAATGTTGTTTGAGCATAAATTCATCATATTATAATGATTTCTGAAGGATCATGTGACACTGAAGACTGGAGTAATGATGCTGAAAATGCAGCTTTTATCACAAGAATAAATTATATTTTAAAATATATCGAAATAGAAAACTGTTATTTTAAATTGTCATAATATTTACAGATATTACTGTTTCTTTAATCAAATAAATGCATTGGTGAGCAGAAGAGACTTCTTTTAAAAACAGTAAAAATCTTACCGATCCCAAACTTTTGACTGGATATATATGTCACTTGTATTAAAGAAAGTTTAGAAAGTGGAAAAATCCAAAATATATTCAAGATAAAGTCAATAAAAACAAGACTTAATATTTTATGCAATGTTTCTTCTCTAGTAAATATATATTTTGTGTATATATGTGTGTATATACACTCACCGGCCACTTTATTAGGTACACCTGTCCAACTGCTCGTTAACACTTAATTTCTAAGCAGCCAATCACATGGCGGCAACTCAGTGCATTTAGGCATGTAGACATGGTCAAGACAATCTCCTGCAGTTCAAACCGAGCATCAGTATGGGGAAGAAAGGTGATTTGAGTGACTTTGAACATGGCATGATTGTTGGTGCCAGAAGGGCTGGTCTGAGTATTTCAGAAACTGCTAATCTACTGGGATTTTCACGCACAACCATTTCTAGGGTTTACAAAGAATGTTGTGAAAAGGAAAAAACATCCAGTGAGCGGCAGTTCTGTGGGCGGAAATGCCTTGTTGATGCCAGAGGTCAGAGGAGAATGGCCAGACTGGTTCGAGCTGATAGAAGGGCAACAGTGACTGAAATAACCACTCGTTACAACCGAGGTATGCAGCAAAGCATTTGTGAAGCCACAACACGCACAACCTTGAGGCGGATGGGCTACAACAGCAGAAGACTCCACCGGGTACCACTCATCTCCACTACAAATAGGAAAAAGAGGCTACAATTTGCAAGAGCTCACCAAAATTGAACAGTTGAAGACTGGAAAAATGTTGCCTGGTCTGATGAGTCTCGATTTCTGTTGAGACATTCAGATGTTAGAGTCAGAATTTGGCGTAAACAGAATGAGAACATGGAACCATCATGCCTTGTTACCACTGTGCAGGCTGGTGGTGGTGGTGTAATGGTGTGGGGGATGTTTTCCTGGCACACTTTAGGCCCCTTAGTGCCAATTGGGCATCGTTTAAATGCCACGGCCTACCTGAGCATTGTTTCTGACCATGTCCATCCCTTTATGGCCACCATGTACCCATCCTCTGATGGCTACTTCCACCATGTCACAAAGCTCTAATCATTTCAAATTGGTTTCTTGAACATGACAATGAGTTCACTGTACTAAAATGGCCTCCACAGTCACCAGATCTCAACCCAATAGAGCATCTTTGGGATGTGGTGGAACGGGAGATTCGCATCATGGATGTGCAGCCGACAAATCTGCGGCAACTGTGTGATGCCATCATGTCAATATGGACCAAACTCCCTGAGGAATGCTTCCAGCACCTTGTTGAATCTATGCCACGAAGAATTGAGGCAGTTCTGAAGGCAAAAGGGGGTCCAACCCGTTACTAGCATGGGGTACCTAATAAAGTGGCCGGTGAGTGTATATACAAGTATAAACAATTACCAGTAATAACTCAATAAGTAGTCATATATTTTGCAGTGTAATGGGGTTAAATGTTCATAATGCAATTGTAGATTTCATGACAATTAAGTTTTTAATACTTGGATAACCAAGTAACGTTTGAATAACTCTGAATAACCTTTTTTTATGTTATGATACATTAAAGGAATTACTTAATGTGGTAACCCACTTTATTTTCCGTGTAGTCCTGCATTGTTGAACAGAAGTCTGTCATTGTAAAATGTTGTGCTGCAGATATGTGCTACATGCGTTACGCTTTCATTCAATAGATCATTCACTCAGTGTTTTAGGAAGTGCCTTACATCCTGTTGGGTGTATAGGTGATAATAGGCCTTTGTTATACGCAGCTCACATTTCCTCGTTGCTTTTATTGCTCACTATATTCATGGCATATCATATCCTAAGCCGGTGAAATGAGAAGCTCAAAGTCAGTCGATGAACCACAAAGTGGCAATATATGACAAGTACTGTATGTGCACGGCATGCGTGTGAACGTGAGCTGTGGTAGCAGCTTTTTTTATTATCAAAGTAGAAAAGTTAGGTATTGTGGTTATGTTTTCATAGGGTTTATGTTGCCTTCTGGATTTTATGACTGATTAAACTTGTTTGTATGAAAAAATTCTCATGAATTACAAATAATTTATTAGCGTCTACTTAAATACTTGAAATTATTTTGTGCATAAATATAGAATATATTGATGCTTTTACAATTTTTTTTATATTATTTTTAAATAGATAAAAACAGCACATGAAAACTCCATCATATGATTTTTGTTCTTTCAAAGCTTTGGAGTCTTTTGTTACGTTAATCTTAAAAACACTGTGTACATGATACTTACAAACATCTAAACATTATTAAATCAAGACACATTTACTTGAGAGGCAAAATTACTAAATATATTAAATCTTGTTTGTTGAAAACAAGACTTTTTTTGTTTAAAACTAGGAAAATATCTGCAAGTAGGATCATAAAAAAAAAACTTAAATCAAAAGGAAAACAAGATTATTTGTCTCACCCCATTGGCAGATATTTGTTCTTGTTTTAAGTATAAAAACTCACTTAATTGTGATACTTTTTCAGAAAACAAGACTTCATATCCGATGTCATTTTGCTTCTCAGTTATAAGCATCTTGGTTTAATAATATTGAAACATGCCTACAATACCGAGTAAGACATTTTTTTTTCTGCAGCGCAGTGATAAAGAATGAATAGATATTTCCAACAAGTATACCACAAAATCTTGCACAGGTGGAACTCGAAAAATTTGAATATCGTGCAAAATATAATTTTGTTGATTATTGTGTTTATTAGAATATTGTGAAAAGGTTTTCATAAGCCATAATCATCAAAATTATAACAAATAAAGGCTTGAAATATCTCACTTTGCATGCAATGAGTCTATATGATATATTAGTTTCACCTTTTAAGTTGAATTTACTTTGTGCTTTGACACATTTCAAATTCTCTCAACATAAATGCTGCCAGAAAGCCTTTGAGCTGCAATTAGTTCTTTATTTTTCTTTAACAAGTTACAAAAAAAGACATCAGTGCTTTATACGAGTTTTCGACAGAATAAAAGTGCATGACCAGATTCTGACGGTATATGCAACTGAACAATGAACACAGTGACCTTAATACTTAGTGCAATGATTTGTAAACCAATGAACGTCATACAGTCAAATTATGTTAATAAACATTTATGACATGCTGTAGCATTAAAGTCCGAATATTTTAACGTATACGATAGCATGTTGACGACACGGATCACACAACTGAACTTCAGGAACTCGACATCACGGTCAAAACATTCAACAGTTCATTGTCTTTTGATCATCCTCCCCTTTCTCTGAAATCGTTGTTTCCCTTCATCACTGCGGTGGATGCTGATTTTGGGAGCGGGATTATGTGAAGTTTCGCTATGTAACAAAAGCGTCTTCATGTGCCTTAAAAGAGCCTTCCACATCTTCGCTTTGCTTCAGCGTCGGCGTCGAGAAGAACCTCGACCCTCGCCGTCCTCGCTCGTCTTTCTCTCGCGGGCTTTAGGAGACTGAGCAGCTGTTGGCCTTGTTCATGGGCGGCCGTAGACCCTTGTCTTTGGGAATGGTCTCCCTGCGGCGACGCAAGGCCGGGCTGAGGAGGCTGGGGAGGTTGGCTTGCTGGAGCAACTCCCTGAACACCTCCATCACGTTCTCGTTGTCTTTGGCCGAGGCCTCCAGGAAGCAGTTGTTCCAGTCCATCTCCACCTTCGCCAGCACGTCGTCCGCGGACACCCTTCGCTCGTGCAGTCGGTCCGTCTTGTTGCCCACCACTACGATGGGTGTGAACTTGTCCTCCTTGACCTCCATGATTTCCTCGCGCAGGCTCTTGACGGCCTCGAGGGATTCGGGGTCGTCCACGGAGTAGACCAGTGCGAAGGCGTCTCCGTTCTGGATGGAGAGCTTCCTCATGGCCGGGAAGGAGTAGCTTCCGCTCGTGTCCATGATGTTGACGGTCACTTTGACCCCGGCCACCTCGTACTCCTTGCTGTGGAGCTCCTCCACTGTGCGCCGATGTTTGGGCTCGAAGCTGTCTTGTAGGAAACGTTTAATCAGGGCTGTTTTCCCAACACCTGCAGCTCCCATGAACACCAATCGCACCTCTGTCTTTTCCTTGACTTCCAGAGACATGATTCCCAATCCCAGATACTCAAGCTCTCTGCTGAATGTAAGTCTCCCCTGCAGCTTCTCGTGAAGACTTCAAACTCGTGGATCTGTCTGATTGTTGCAGTCTTGAAGCATGAGGAATGGTTTCAGCTGCATCTGTGTTTTGTGTGTGTTCTCGTGCCCTATTTATGGCCTTTCTCAATCGCAGGGATTCCAAGCCCTCTTCAGAGCTCAGCCAATCAGCTCCTCTTGTTAAACCACTGGCCAATGGCAAGACACTATGCAGATGAGATACAAGCTCTTGCTGTTGATGTAGTGGAGAGCTGTCAGATGGGGTTTGCGCCTTGGATACAGCGGTTGTCAGGTTTTTAAATGTGTGAATTTAATTTGCCGAGAGCATTTTGGCAGTTTATATATTTGCATGCACAATGTGTAGTGTGTGTGTATCACCCTGCAGGAGAATCATCATATTTTTGGTCCTCAAAGAATCTTTCAGTGAACGGTTCTTAAAAGAAACATTTTTAATAATCGAAATAATCTTTTTTTCCAGTAAAGAACCTTTTGTGGAATGAACTTCCTTCAAGGAGACGGCAATCCCAGTTAAAAAATTATGATTATCTGTGTTTTTATGTGGTGGATATAAGAGAGTTTCAAATCTGTCACGTACCGGCATCGTGTGTGTGTGTGTGTGTGTTTGTGTGAGAGAAAGAGAGGCCGAGAGACAGACAGAGAGAGATTTTGTCCTGAAACGGCATTCGATTAAAAGTGTCAAAATTTTTACAATTGGATCACAAATCTGTGAAACGCTGATCTAATATGCCACACAGAAACACTGCATCAGTATTTTACATTAGAATTGATAATAGTTGCTCAGATTATTATGTGGAATAAAGCGGCACAAGTCTCATTATAGAATATGATGACACGATGCCACAAATCCAAGTACATCGCTGTAAGAAAAAAAAAATCAGTAGATAAATGGAAAATGTCCTGGTGATTTTCTGCCAGGATATTATCCGTTAAGTTTACAGACATTTCCCTAAAACACAATGCATTGTAATGTTAATGCAATGTACATTAAAATACGGGTAAAGGACCTGTGAAAAATCAATATGGAAAATTCCTTCATATTAACATTACATTGGGCCCAATTTGTATATGTAGGTAAGTCTAGGCATACTTACTCACATATAAAAAAAAAGAAAAAAGGTTATTTAAAATGATTCATACAAGCAAAATAAATATACACACAAAAGTCAAGTTTTTCACCCTTTCAAATCGATAAAATCAATAATAAAAGAAAACAAAAAAAATTGAGAGAACATAAAAGTTTACGTTTCTCAACGTAAAGGACAATTAGTTGTACAAACTTGTATATTCAATCAACATAATATATTAAGTTGAACAAACTTATAGTTAAACTTCCATTTTTAAGTTTAGTTGACTAGAAGTTTCTTACCATAGAGATTTAAAGCTTTATTGCATTTACAAACTTAAAGCTGGAGTTAACCAACTTAAAGTTAGCGGGTAATTATGTCACTTTCCCGTGCATGTATTGTCAAATCCCCAAATAGAGAAAAGTTGCTCCGGCTACTAAAAAAATTAGTAAAAACTTGGGAGAGGGGAAGGAAAGTTGTCACGAGGGAGAAATGGAGCTGCTAAATCTCCAACCTCCGGGGAATCACTCGTTTTAAACAAACCAGAACAGAGGAGAGTCTGCTGGCGAAAAGGGAGCGTGACAGAGCTCATAATAACCTTCTCCAATGAGAATAAATGTAAGGCAGGACTGGGTTTTTGTCCTTGGGGAATTGATTGGATGCTTGTGGTTTGCTATTGATCGATCTCATGTGAGTGACAGGACGGGCTGTCAATATTTTCAGTATTTTTCCATAAAAAAACAAACAAGAATTACCCATTTTAGCTTTAAGAGTCTCAGCCCATACCCCTTAGCTGAGGTAAAAAACACTGCTATTCATGGTTTACTGCTTTATTTCCTCTCTCCCCCGACTCTGATGTGCTCGAATGTTTAGCTCAGCTGACACTCAAGAAGCTGTTCTTTTATCTCAACCTCTATTGTTAGAAGAGCACCACTGAAAATCCTTCATTAAGCCTCAATTCAGAGTATGTATGTGATATGATAAGCTCATTGTGTTAAAATTGATGTCTCTGGTCACATCTTTCTCATGTATGCTGCAGTTTCTCTTAGTTTTACTATTGTTTTTATCAAAATTGCAAAAATAGTGCATGCATTCAAAGCAAATTTCAACTTCAAATAAGGATTGTGATGTAGGAAAAAACAATTATTATCACGAAATAAAAGACTGAAATGGTATTTGACTGTATGATGAATGTGGCTCAAACCAGGCAATTTATCTCGAGGATTATTCTTTTTTTAGTATCTCAGTGAGATCCCAGAATGCCCTTCTGTTGAGTTTCTACTCATACCCGTTCAAATAGAGCATATCTGTAACGGGGAAATGCGAAAAGTTAAGTGATCTTGCAGATGAAATGTACATGCTTACAAATAATTTGCATTTGAATGATGCTTTTAAACTAAAAATGGAAATATGTTCTGGAGTTTGGAGCTGTGGACTCAAAAGTGTCTCCGTCTGAATAGATATAATGCTCAGAGAAGCAAAAGCTGAGAGGGTCATTTTCTCCCCTCACATGTTAGATGTCCCCTCATTAGCTTGTGAACATTAGTGTACTGAATAGCTCAGAAAGGAAGAGACCTAGTGAAGGATAATGTGGCACTGTGAAGTAGTGTGTTTGTAGAGTTTAAGCTTGAAATTGCTGTTTAAAAGACTCTTGAGTAATGTTATTTCTTTTTACTTCTGGCCAGTGAGAGCTGGAGAATGTAAAACAATCAATGTAAAATACATAAAAATATAGTTTTTCACTAAAGAATGATCATGATTTAACCATTGTATGCATGCACCAATGTATCAACACATGGTAGTAAACAACTATTTTTACCTACAAATACTGGTACTAAAACACTTTAATAAATGAAAAAATATAATACATGATAGTTTTGTTGAGCACAGTTTTGAATCAGTTCATTGGACAGTTTGAACTGGTTCATGGAAATTAATTGAAATAAGCTCTAATGCCCTTTTGCCAGAGACTCGATCGACCTTGTAAAGCCTGAAAAAGCCTAGAAAAATCTTTTTGGACGGCGATTTGCAACGAATGTGGGATCTTATGCTTTCAATGTTAGCAGGCTAAATTTAGCATTTCCCAGATCACCTATTGCACCTTTAAGTATCATATTTCATACATCAGACATTTATGACTCACAAGTTGAAATAGTTAGAATATGGAGCTCACACTTGAGGAGGAAAACATTTTCTATTGAGAGGCCCAAACTGTCACAGACACTCATTCTCTGCGTATTACGTGTTCAGTCTATAGTGTATCATCGCCACCTAATGGCCTGGAAGCAGAATACAGCGTTCTTAGTCGTTTTCACGGATCCGTGCGAATGGGGATCGTTTTGAATATGGTGTCGTCTGTACGCGGAAAACACAAAAGACAATCTTCTCAGTTTCAAGCTTATATTTGTCGTGTAAACGTACCCTCAGTTTCATTATCATGGACTTTTAGTTTGTTTTCATGAGTTTCCTGTTTCCCTTTGTTCTATTTTCCCGCCACTCGTTTGTCTTCTTACTGTCATTATGAGTTTTGTGTTTCAGCTGTGTTTGATTATCATCTCGTTTGTGTTTGCTTTATAAGTTGTACCCTCACAGTCACTCTTTGTCCGGTCACCGTTAATGTTAAGTTGTGTTTGCTCGCCTGCCGTTTGGATTGTTTGCACGTATGAATTATTAAAGCCTTTTTGAACCCCGGTCTTCATCTTCATATGCTTCCTACAACCTAAACGTGACACAAAATAAGAAAAAACATGACGTTTTGTGCAGTTGCTAATATTTAAAAACTAATATGATGAAATTCAGATAGCTTGATCAGATATAGTATAGACTTGTGCATAAATCTCAGTTGTCACTCTATAATATGTCTTAATGATAATATTTAAATCCTTAATTTTATGATCAAATCTCTGCAATGCCTAATTAATACTCTTATTTTAACATGATTTGTGTAGGAAATTATGAGTTATTACTAGCAATATAATAGTTATTCTTACATTTACGTACTATATACAAATCATTAAAGATTTCACAGCAAAAATACATGTGAACACCAGGGGGGACGTTTTTAAAAAATGTACTAAAATGTATTTTACTTGCTAAAATTTTATTGTATCAAAAATTATACAGTAGGTTTAAATATTTGTAACGTTCTCAACAAGAAAGGATGACAAAACTAGTCTAATGACGATCTCTTTAGGAAACTTACTGGCCAAATAAATAGACAATTGAAATCATTGTGATATTCAGAATTTGGTAGCAGTTTATTTTACAGTCCTGTTCCGCATGTACGTACTTATTATAGTAATTATAATAACTGGGTAATAACTAACTCTGAATCTACTCCTAAACCATGTAGTTACTGTACATTATATTAACCAGTTCTTTCTTAGGTAAGTCTACATACTGTCAAATAAATTCTTAATTTTCCTTAAATGTTACATCACCAGGAATCTCATCATAAATATATCACGAACAATCAATATATGGCCCAACCCCATGATCAGTCCAAATCTGACTGCCTTCTTGGTTCTCCATTGGTTTACCAAGTATTATATGTTATATGTGACACTTTAATACATTTCATATATAATGGTTCAAAGAGACCGTGACATAAGATAAAATAAGAAACAGTGTTTCTACATATGCGGTTCCTGACTCGTCGGGTCAAATATAAGTAGTTGCATGTTTCAAAGCTTGGTAAACAAGGCCAGGCATGTGTTGAGCTGATGAAATTCTTCAAAAGATCATATCCCTGCTCAACATATTTTACATTTGCCGTCTCCAGCGCTGATTGTGGATGTATCTGAAAGACCAGCTTCAGCTGAAATGACACATCTGACCCAAGCGGATCGCTGTGATGTGTCAGCCACTTGCATCTGCATTTTATTACGCAGGATAAGTTGACAATGA